CATCGGGCTCCCTGCTCTGTGGGAAGCCTGCTTCTCCCTCTCCCACTCCCCCTGCTTGTGTTCCCTCTCTCACTGTGTCCCCCTCTGTCAAAAAAAAAACCAAAAAACAGCTAACATTTACTGAATGCTTACTGTATACTATATGCTGTAATCATTGGTTTACAAAGATTACCTCATTTAATCCTCATACCAATCCTAGGAGAGGTGCTATTATTATCCTCATTTTATAATGAGGAATAGAGAGATTAAACAATTTATTAGGATGACACAGCTAGTAAGTAACTAAGTATCACTACAGTGATGCTTAGGTTTTGAAAGACTGACATAAAAGTAACCCGCTGAAGGTATTAGAATAATAAAATTCAAAGTTCTCCAACTTTACTTGGAGTACAAAGAGAACAAACCAAACAAACCCCAGGATCTTTGATCTTTCAATTAATCAGATAAATTAAAAACCAAAACACTATATTTTAAGTAGAAGCTTTTCCCAGACTCATTATCAAGGTGGCACTATGTGCCATTAATCCAATCAATATTTCAGGTTGTCAATGTCAAAACTGCCTGAGTTTAGCAGTCCTCAAACCTCTCTCATGTGGTCAACTTCCTCCAACTCTCAAAAATATGCACTTCGTGAGTCCCTGAAGCCTTATGCTGTAATACTCTTTGTTCTAAGGTTTTCACATTTTTTTTTTTAAAGATTTTTATTTATTTATTTGACAGAGAGATAGAGAGAGAGCACAAGTAGGCAGAGCGGCAGACAGAGGGAGAGGGAGAAGCAGGCTCCCCACTGAGCAGGGAGCCAGACGTGGGGCTCGATCCCAGGACCCCAGGATCATGACCTGAGCCGAAGGCAGCCGCTTAACCGACTGAGCCACCCAGGCGCCCCAGGTTGTCACATTTTTAAGCACTGCATACTCACCTTCCTTTGGCAAATGTGAACTATGGACAAATATATATTTATATTATCCTCACCAAATGACTGAGGTTTCTGTTTGTGGGTTGTTTTGTGTTTTGGTTTTGCATTATGAAAATGTCCCTATGAGCATCTGAAGCCTTTGACATCTGATAAAGGAAAGTCAAATTATATATGATGCTTTGATAACCCATGAACAATATTCTATCATTGGAATGAATGTATCTCAGGCTACCTCATGATCATATTACCAGGTAAACTGGAACCCTTACTTTGAGATAAAACACAGAAGACAGTTGTTAATGAAACCTTAATTGAACTGTCAAAGCACCATCTTTACCAGCAAGCTAATAGGTAATTCACTACTTTTACACGACTGTCCAATACTGATAAGTTATTCCACTAGTTAAATTCAGCAGAGAGATAAATCGACTAAATTGTTCAGTGATAAATCTGACTGGTAAAATGCTATACCACTTCTGCAAATATCTTTCTGGGTCTACACAGAGGAAAAACAGTATCTCTCAAAATTACATGCAATGTTTTTAGCCATCAGTTAGTAATTTTGGTGCATGTCCAGAAAAAGACATGAGAGCAAATACAGTTTCCTTTTGTGTAGCATGCCAAAAGAAAAATACTTGCAAAATGCATTAAACAAATAGAAGAATCTAAGTGAATCTTATGATGCCCAAGTAGTCATATGGTGTTTTAATTGAATGATGTATCACTGGGAAAATATTTTTATGTCCCATTTTAATCATTTTAGAAAATAGTTTCAGGTTCATTAGGTATTCTCTAAATTAAAAAGAAAAATTCTGGTTCAGACAGGTAATATATAAAAAACCTCACTAATATCTTTAGCTTGGGTTTCAGAATACTAGTGCAATTCACTCTGGTTTGGTGTTCAAATCTCTAGTTTTAACAATTTTACTCAGGTCATATAGCAGTTAAATTCCAAATATAATAAGCAATTCAGACAGCAAGTCATCAATATGTAAATATAAAAATAGAAAAGCATTTGCATACTAAAACACATACCTGGAACTCTTCCTTTTTTCATACTGAATTGTACTTCACCTGTAACAACTGATTAAGAACACTCAATGCAGCTAACCGGAAAAACTTGGTTAAAGAAGAAAGAACAACCTGACCAGGAGATCAAGTAATCAAACAGCAAAGATTGCACAGCACTGTGCTAAGCGCAGGGGAGAAAAAGATGTACTCTGGTAGACAGTCCATACCCTCAAGGGGCTTACAAATGTAGTGAGATGAGGCAAACACAAAACAACTGGTGTACAATAGAAGATGGTGTACAGAAGGAGGTACACTTCAAGTACAAGGAACAAACTCTGCCTGTGATGGAAGGCGTCAATCAATAAAAGAATCTAGGATGGATTCAAATCAAAACCATTAGGTTTTTCATATGTAAGTACTTCAGAATAGCCACTACCAGAATGCTTGCTGTGGGAGATGTTTCAGCACTCCAGTTCCTCGCCTTTTTCCCCTTAAAAAGAATCTTTTCCTTTAGCACAGACTTGAAGTGAAAACTTCTACAAGTCATATCATCATTTGAGAGAAATGTAGAACAGTTTTAGAATATAATCAAGAATGCTGCAATCCACTTCCCCTCCGGTAGCTCTAGTTCTTAGCATTGTATGTAAAGCAATAAAATGCAAGAGAGCATCCAGGTCTAAGAAAATCCAAATTCTCAGTCAGTAGATGACAAAATTTAATGCAAGGAACAACCTTTTTCCCGTCCACACCCCCCAGGCCCCATAGCTTTGAAATCCTCAAGGGTTAGGCAAGGAATGGAAGTTCACAGTGCAATCCCTAAGGATAGAATATGGAAGAGACGAAGGCAGGAACAGACAGGTCCCTGAGCAGATGAAGAGGCACCATTACCAGCTACGGCTACACTCTTTCCCACCAGGAATCCCATACGCCTTGAAGGGAGCACTACAGCAGCAACCTCCTTGGAGAGCTAGCTGGGAAAACACTAGACCCGACTAGTTTAAAAACAAAAACAGATCACTTTGTAGTCTAGATTATAAAATCTGAAATATAAAGATGGCCAGATATAACGCAAACATGATACTTGTATCAATTATAGCCTGAACAACAATGACAAAAGGAGACATTTACCAGGCTAATTCCAAAGAGTTCATTTTCCTGTGGTGATGGGAGCTTTTCTAGACATTAACAAGAATCTATTTTTGAATGCACTGAAAACATCAATTCATTTGTCAACACCAGATTACTTAAACCTTGAGAAAAAAAATTCAGTTTGTTCTAGTTTTGATAGCAACAGGACCTACAATGATAAATTCATTTTATTATAAACTACTAATCTTACTAAGAAGAGCAAATAGACAAAATGTGGCATTTAAGAAGTGCTCAGACTTTTTAAAATACCCTAACACTAGCAAAGTGAAGCAGTTTCATATGTTTAAAAAAGTATACTACAGCAACCAACCAAGGGATAACAGCAACTTAAGAGGCACTAAATGACACTAAATGACACTAAAACATTACACCGAATGTGGGCCACGGCATAGCTACAGTCTACTGACCTCATTTGTGGTACTCATGTGTGATGCTATATTTAATGCTTTCTTATCAAAAAGCTAAAGCTACATACTTCCCAACTGTAGCTTTATGGTTTAAAATAAACCACTCAAGCAACGATTTAACTGGTTCAAGTTTGAACCCTATCTTCCTTCTGGGGATCAAGATCACAAATTAAGGAATGAAAAGGCAAAAAGGAGAGCAAAGTAGTTATGCAGAGTATGACCCAGTGACAAGACTATTATAAGGAACCAAGTTTGGGTCATTTGCAACAGCTGCTGCAATCGGGCAACTGATTCAAACTCCATCAAACCTAAGAGATGACCAAGGTCTGTAGGAATACACATTTCATACATCCACCTAATGATCCTACATTCAGTGGCTTGCTTAGGCTCTAAACCAAGTTTGGTAGACAGCAAACATGTGTGTGACTCCTCAGAGGGTGTTCTCCCATAATTTGCCAGGACTCGAAAGCATAAACCCAGCCAGCCAACACACTGGGCCTCTGGGTGAGGGTGGCTTCCTCCAGTTGAGTCGCTCCACTCTGGTCAACATGGAGAAAAGCATGACAGATGACTCGCCCAATCACAACCGTGAGAAGAAACCACGAGAAGTTGTGTTCTTCTTTTGATACTCACCAGACAACACCAAAGGCTCCATATCCGATAGGTCTATCCGGCTCAATATCCAGCTGCTGCTGTGGATGATGCGAGTGTTGATGGTGGTGCGCCTTAACTGTAGCAGCTGCGGCAGCCTGTACCTGAGCTGGGGCTGCTGCAGCTGGTCCAGGAGCCTGACCCGGTGCGGGTGATGGGAAATATGGCTGTTGTTGCCCAGGGTTTAACATGGCTGCAGCTGCGGCCGCCGCTGCGGCTGCCGCAGCTGCCGAAGAGGTATGCTGCTGTACAGGGTGTACAGCGGCAGCCGACCCCGGATGAAGATGGTGTTGAGGGTGGTGGTGGTGGTGAAGGTGAGGAGGAGGGAGGTGTGGAAGGTGGTGGTGATGGTGGTGGTGGTGACCTGCTGCTGCTGCAGATGTACCGCCATTGTAAGCCGCCATCATTTTTGCGTTGGCTCTTGCGCCACAAAGAGACATTCAAAAAAAATGCCCTTTGATTGGAAAGCAAACTGGGTCAAGCTGTCATTTGGCCATTTAAAAATGAAGAAAAACCACTCACTCCACCTCAAAAAACATGGAGCGTAACTGGCTTTATGTCTTCATCAGTCAATCCAAACAAGTTAGAGGATCTTGGTGTTTAGTTTTGGGGTGAGCGTGTGTGGAAGGGTGTGGACTGCCAAAAAAAGAAAAGAAAAGGAAAAAGAAAAAGAAAAGAAAAAGGAAAAAGGGACCCCTTCCCCCCAGGTTTCCTGCCACAAGTGGGTACTAAAACTCCATCCTTAATTGGGGGGAGGTTCCAACTTTGAATGTGGGAATAAAGGCCAAACCTCCCGACCCCCTGAACTCCACACACGAAAAGGATCAGGTAACACGCCACCCTTGGAATCTTGTAAGAGGGTTGACTCATCTACCCCTTCCATTCCCACATCCTTTTCTAAACACCTACCACCTCCTCAAAAATACAATTTTAAAAAATTCCAACCACCCCAAATTCAAAAGATGGGGGGAAATTTTCAGGGAAACCAGCTTCCCCCCCTCGAACTCTCAGGCCTTCCTACATCTCCCCCTACTCCTAGTCAGGTTGACCTGATTGGAGGGGGGTACTAAACTTTCCAGAACAGAAAAGAGCCAGGGAAGGAGGCAGGAGGGATAGGGTGAGCAGAGGCGGCGACAGGGCAGGACGGAGAGGAGAAAGAGAACCGGGGCAAAGTGAAGGTAAGGAGGTGCAGGGAGGAATGAAAGAGAGGTGGGCAGCACTCGGACGCCCAGACAGAGGGAACCGCCCCGGGATGAGGTTAGGGTCCCGGGGCCAAAGAATAGGAGCCCCGGGAGGCGGGCGGGGTGCAGTCGGAAGCGGGCTGACTCCTGCCCCCGCCGCCGGCTCCTTCTGCTGAGGAGGGTTGGGGGGGAGAGCGGGTGGGTCCCCCCGCGCGACGGCCCCCGCAGGGCTCAAGGCTGCTCCGTCTCCCCCCCTCCCCCCCACCCGGCTTCCCGTCCCCGCGGCCGCTTTCTCCTCAGTCGCTGCCGGCCGCTTTCTCCTCAGCCGCCGCCTCCTCAGCCGCCGGTGCCGCCGCGGCCGGACTCACCTCCCCTAGCAAAGCCGGATAGAGCGGAGCCAGCGGCGGACACGCGCAACCAGCCACCGAGGCCCCGCCCCCGCCTCACTCTGACCGGCTGCCCTAGCCAATCCACGCCCACCTGTCTGCGTCTGCCTCCAATCCTGGGCCCGTAGCTTCAGACAGGCGCACTGTTCGGCCAGTGGCAACAAGGTGTGGGTCTCCTGGGGAAATCCCGCCCCCGATCCGGGATGGGCAGATAGAGGGACCAATCAAAAGGCAGAGTTTGGCCTGACCGACAGGACTAAAAGCGAATTAAAACCCAAAGATCTCCGTGACATTTTCTTTCGCCTCTCTCCTCTTTTCTTTTTCTTCTTTTATTTTTTTGGCAGGAGCAGGAAGCTGCGTGCTAATCCCGCCCGCAAAAACTGGAAGAGAGGGTGGAATAAAAGAACCAATCATGAGCCGGGGACCAAGACCAGAGCAACCAATCCTTGGCTTGAAGACGAAGTGGGATGGGACTGGGGCCAGATAGACACTTGATTTGACAAATGGAAAAAAAGATTGATCTCGGTCCCACCCTTCAGGTCTCCTATAGGTCAGGATTGTGGAGAATTCGCTGTCGTATCAGCGACGACCTCTTCAGGGGCGTGGCCAACGGGGAGGGGTGTGGTCTAAGGAAAGTGGGCGGGACTGAGGCCAAGAAGGCGGAGTCCAAATCGTCGCTGGTCCATTCATAGGAGCCATGTCCTCTCCCTTCTTAAGTCATCAAGAGTGGAGAAGAAATAGGGGGAGCAAAAAGGGATGTCGAACTTCAGAAACTCAAGGTCCAAGGTTACTCAACAAGGAAACCACAGAAGAAACTCAGAAGACCCATAGTTCATAGCCTATGGCTGGTCCTCCATGGCTAATCCTGATCTTTGCAAAAAGAAGTGATGTCTCCAGCATTCACCACTCCACTCTCAGTGGATGATAAGGCTATTTATACAAACTAAAGCAACAAAAATCATAAACTTAACCACAAAGATCGTAATTTTCTCTGGTATTTTCTAATTTTTCATCATTGAAATCTTACTAAAATAACATCTTTCACATAACCTCACTTATCTGAATTTTCTTTTAAAATATGAAATAATAAGCTCACAGAACCTTATCCTTATGAAAAGTGCACTCAGAACCCTGGAGATCATCTTTGATTTCTCTTTGCCTGCCCACTCCTAATCAGTCATCAACTTTTAAACACTTTTAAAAACTTCTAAACACCCTCCTTTCTCCCCAGTATCACAATATTACCCTAATTTATGTCACTAGCATCTTTTAACGCATCTCCCTGCCTGCAGGCTTGCACGCCTCTATTCCATCCTCCACTGAGAGTATAGCAATCTTTTAAAAACACAAGTCTGACCATGCCCCCACCTTTGAAAAAAGTCAGTAATAGCCCTGCTTGATCTGGTTCTCATCTTGCTCAATGACCTTATCTATCACCTCCACCCTCTATACTTCAGACATTCTAAACTTTCAGTTCCACAAATGGTTTGTGGCTTCCAAGGCTTCATGCATATCTTTGGCCCCAAACACACCCCACCTACCCTCTACTCCTTTAATTTACCTTTCAGATGAATTTTACTTTTCACATAAATTTTACCTTTTTCTTTTTTCTGGAAAAATTTTCCTGACTCTGTTGTAGAGTATTTATCTCTGTTATGTATCTCCATTGCACTGCCTCCCTCATAACGCTGAAAACTCTATATTTTAATTGTTTACTGAGTTTGACCAGGACCAAAAGCTTGTCTGTCCACTCTATGCTGTATGGCCAGTTCCTGGAGCAGTGTCTAAAAGGTGGAGACACTTAATAAGGAGTTGCATGAGTTATTGAGTGCAGGGGTGGTGGATACCAATCCAAGCTCTGCCGTTTACTAGCTCTGGGACTTGGGCAGTTTAACTAACCTTCTTCAGTCTCAGTTGCCTCAACTGAAAATGAAGATAAAGTGTGCCTCATCAGGTCGAGTTGAATATTAAATGAGGTCATGTATTTAAAAGTTCTTGGCAAGTAGTAAAAGTTCAAAATATGTTAATTTTCTTTGCCTATCCCCATCCTCACATAATATTTAGGATGTCTTTCCAATTTCCCCATGTATATCAGTCTCCTCCAAAGTGTAATTTCCTAGAAGCTTCTTAGACATGCAAAGTCTCAGGTTCTACCCCAGGTCTACTGAATCCGAATCTCATGGACAGGAATCTGTTTCATAAGCCCTCCAGGTGATTCTTACACACTGAAGTTTGAGAAGCATTGGCCTAGAAGAAAAGGACTGAGTCTTAAACTTTGTTTACTTTTCAGCACCGAGAAAGTATTCAATACATGTGAAATAAAAAAATACATCCAATCCACCAGAAAATGATTGTATGTTATTGTATTTATTTCTGCAACAAACATTTATTGAGCACCAACTCTATCTAGGCATGATGCTAGGATCAACAATGGGGGAGGGAAGATACATGACCTAACAGAGTCTTTGCCATTCAGGAGCTCTAAGTCTGGTGTAGGAGTTCCCAAAATGGTGTGTGCATATCCCCGGTGGTACACAAAGTGAGCCATTAGGCACCAGGAGGAAATTAGTACAACTTCTTTTTCAGCCTATTTTTTATTTTGTCTTTCTTTTAAGATTTTATTTATTTATTTGAGAGAGAGAGAGGGCATGCATGTGCCCGCTCGAGGAGAAGGGCAGAGGGGGAGAGAATCTGAAGCAAACTGTGATGAGCCCAGTGTCCTACTTGGGGCTCATCTCATAACCAGAGATCACAAGCTGAGACAAAACCAAGAGTCAGTTGCTTAACTGACTGAGCTACCCACGTGCCCTATTTCATCTTTTAAAATGTCTCTTTTGTCAGTGTTTTATAATATACATAATATATAGAGTAGTGTAATGTATATAACTTATAAATAAACAAAAATACATAAATTGGGGATTAATGCTCAAAAAGTTTTATCAAAAACTTTGAGAAATCTGGGCACCTGGGTGGCTCAGTCAGTTAAGCAGCTGCCTTCGGCTCAGGTCATGATCCCAGGGTCCTGGGATCTAGTCCTACATCGGACTCCTTGCTCAGCGGGTAGCCTGTTTCTCCCTCTGCCTGCAGCTTCACCTGCCTGTGCTCTCTCTCTCTCTTTCTCTCTCTGACAAATAAATAAATAAAATCTTAAAAAAAAAATAAAAATAAAAAATAAAAAGTTAAAAGAAATAAGGAGGATTATTTTTAATATATTTTACTTAACCCAATATATCTAGAATATTGTCATGTAAAACATGTAATCAATGTAAAAAAATATGTATATACATGATAAATAGTCTGATACTAAGTCTTCGAAATCTGGTGTATATTTTGCATTTGCAGCCCATCTCAATTGAATTAAAAATTCCATCTCCTCAGTCACACTAGGCACATTTCAAGGGCTCAATAGCCTCATGTGGCTAGTGACTACCATATTAGACAGCACAGACCTAGATCATGGGTTTGACTCCCTGCTCTGCCCCTTACTTGTTGTGTGATCTTGGGCAAATTCCTTAACCTATCTTAGTCTGAATTTCCTTGTTCATAAAATAGAGAAGATCCTTGACTTCTCCAGTTGTGGTGATTCAAACTGACAACCATGGAAAGCACACAGCCTGGGGCCTGCCTAGCTTCTCATCAGTGACACTGAGAGGGGTGGTTATTATTAGTATTACGATCCAAGGCAAAGTGTCCTGAGTGTCAGATGAGAAATACAACTTTGGGCACTACTCGGTTCATGTCCCCAGCATTCCATCCATGTGGGTCTGGCCTGACAGACACCCAATTCCCCTTAAACACATCACCAGACAGTACAATATCCGGCCCTTTCGATTCTGTTCCATTTTCAGGAGCTGAGCATGATGAACGAGAAGTCGGAAGTGAGTCAGCAGGATAGCACTTAGAGCCTAAAAAAGCAAGCAGGACATCAGAATGCATAAGCAGGAATAGAATGTGCAGGAAGTGGGAGGTGATCTTCCCTTTCTTCCAAGAACTGGCTCCCCCCATGAGTTGTCTGTGGAGACTTTGTAGAACTTGGGCCAGGCCGAGAGGTGGGGGGTGGTGTTAAAGGACTGCAGTGGGAGCAACTCACATTCAGCAGAGCTGGGTGCTCAACGGGTGTTATCTCTTGTGATAAATCGTCACAAAATTCCATTTGCAAATGAAGAAATAGAGTCAGGAAGCCAAAGGAACTTACCTGAACCTCACAAAGCTAGGGAGTGGCAAGCTCCCTGGGGCATAGTCTTCCCACTGCCCTGCACGGCTGGAGGGAATGACCAAGGAAGTGATCCTATGAAGCCCGGGGGATAATAGGCAGAAATGCTTCACTTAGGAGTCTGGTAGCTAAAGGCGTCCGTCACTGAGTCCATGATACCTTTTCAGTTTGTTATCCAAACCCCCAGGGGCAGACAAGGTAGGACCACCTCTGGCCTTCCAGCACACGCACCCTTCTGAGTGGTGCTTTCTCCAGGCGCTGCCTCCTTCCCACACACAGCTGGAATATCCTTCTACTTCTTCTTCTACCTAAGTTCCATTCACTTTTCAAGGCTCTGCTCCTGGAACCTCGGATCTTTCTTGAAGCCTTTCTCTTATACTAGGCCCTCTGTATGTCTCCCTTCCCTGAAGAACTTAGACATGCAGTGTCTGCAACATTTATTTGAAACATGTGATGCTGTGAAAAACTTTTCAGCTATGTGACTTCAGGCCCCTAACACTTTTGAGCCTCAGTTTCTTCATCTGTGAAATGGGAGTAGCAATACTTACTTTGAAATATAAAGTAATACCTCCTTTGAAGGGATATTGAGAGGATTAAATACATTTCTATGTTAGTATATGAAGTACCTAGCACAGTACCTGACACAGAGTAGCCGCTCAATACAGGTAGCTTCCTTCCCAGCTCTATGTATTGTTGACTGATCAATTTTTTTCTTGGCGTCTCCATTTCAAATGCTCTTCAGTTTGCGGAGTTGAAGTTGGGGGATGAGATGTGATACTTATAT